TGTTAATCCTCACCTTCTCATTTTCTCCAGGTATATTTTCACATTACAGCTTTCAAAGATAAAAGTGGACAAAGATGACTTTCTCTACGCATGCTGCTCTTATCAAGAAGGAAACATTTCCCTGACTTTTTCCATATATTCTTCAATTTACTTGTTCAGACCAGGTGTCATATTCATCCTTACACTAATCACCTTTAAGGAGGAACCAAGTTGTTATAACTGGCTTAGATGAAAAAAACTACTAGTTAAATGTATTGATCTAGGAGTTGGGGTTTTGTTATCAAGAAAAGAACAGGAACTTGTTTTAATTTGGCCATAAGGAAAGTCTTTCTAGATGCAGAAAGGACTTGTAAACTATCTTCCTAACACCTTTTCTTTATAAAATCTAGAATTGGAAGGAATAGTGACCATGTTTCTCAGAACCAGATTCTTTAACTACTTCATCAGGGTCACCCAGGATTTCAAGTTAAAAAATAGCTTTTGCATCCCTCCCTGGTGGCGCAGCGGGTTAAGCACAGCACTAAGAAGCTAAAGCCATTTCCGCATGAGTTCAATTCCCGCCTGCCCCCGGAGGTGACCACATGGCGTGGCAGACCTCTCCTGACCCGCCCACTGCTCCCCTTAGCAGTGTACTTCCTAGATTTGTCTGTTCTGCTCCCTGCTCTGTCTATGGTGAAGCCTCTCACCGCCCCTGAGCCTCTGGCCTGTATCCCAGTTCTATATGCACAAATAAATAAATTAAAAAAAAAATAGCTTTTGCTCTGGAATTTATGCTCAATTTTTCTGTGAACTTCAAATCTTGCTCTAAAAATAAGGTCTATCTTTTACAAATTGAATCTAGACATAGACCTTACAACCCTCAAAAAAAAAAATCAAAATGGATCATACATCTAAGTGTAATATGCAAAACTGTAACTTCTAAATGATAACAGAGAAAATCTAGATAATCTTGGATATGGTGATGACTTTTTAGATATAACAGCAAAGGCACAATCCATGAATGAAACAGTTGATAAGTTAGATTTCATTAAAATGCAAAACTTCTGCTTTGTGAAAGACACATTTGAGAATGAGAACACAAACTACAGACTGGGAGAAAATAACTGCAAAATGGTATAATGATAAAGGACTGTTATCCAAAATAAAGACAACTTAAAATTCAATAATAGAAAATGATCACCCAGATTGGAAAAGTGGATAAAGATCTGAACCTCACCAGAAGATATACAAAAGGTAAATAAGCATGAAAAGTTGTTTAGTGTCATGTCATTAAAGAACTACAAATTAAAACAAGATACCTCTACACACATACTGGAATAACCAAAATCCAAAATATTGACACCAGCAAATGAGAGCAACATGAACTGTTACTCATTGTTGGTAGGAATGCAAAGTGGCACAGCCACTTTGAAAGAATTTGAGAGTTTTTTTCAAAACTAAACAATCTTTCACTGTAAGACCCATCATGTTCCTCTATGAAAAGACATAAATTGAAAACTATGTCTACACAAAACCTTGTTAATAGTAGCTGTTTATAGTCACTTTATTTACAACTGCCCAAACTTGGAAGTAAAATGGCCATCTGTAGATGACTGGATAAACTGGTAGATCCAGACAATGGAATATTATTCAATGCTAAGAAATAGTGAGCTATCAAACCATAAAGTCATAAAGAAACATAAGTGCTTTAACTGTGAAATAATCCTATCTAAAGAGGCTATTTACTGTATGCTTTAAATAGTGTGACATTCTGGAAAAGACAGAACTATGAAGATTGCAAAAAATCAGTGGTTACTGGGGTTAAAGGAGAGGAAGGATGAACAAGTAGAGCACAGAGGATCTTTAGGGCTGCAAAACTAGCCAGCATGATACTGTAGTAGTGGGTACATTATTAACACTTGTTCAAACACACCCAATGAACAATATCACAAATGAACCCTAAAATAAGAGTCTTGAGTGACAATGATGGATAATTCCCTGGTGAGGGAATGTTGATATTAGGTGAGACTGAACATACGCAGGAAGGGGTATATTGGAACTTTCATATAACCCCTGTACTTTCTGCTCAACTTTTTTTTTGAATGCAAAACTGCTCTAATAAATAAAGTTTATTTGAAAAAATTAAAGTTTCCTGGGCTTCACAACAGACCAACTGAGTCAGAAAGCATCTTGGAAGAGGGTGTGATCTAAAGAAAATGATTTTTTTGGCCCTCCCTGGTGACACAAGGGGTTGAGTCACAATGCTATGAAGCTATCATCAGCCACTGCAGCATGATTTCAATCCCCGGCCAGGGAGCTAACCTGCGTGGCACAGCAGACCTCTCCTGTCTTGCCTGCTGCTACCCTCAGCAGCTTATTTCAGTAGATAGCCTGTTTTGTTCCCCACTCTGTCTCTGGGAGATCCTCTCACCTCTGGCCTTCACCTCAGAACTTGTATGGCTACATAAATCTTTTTTTAAAGAAGAATGACTTTTAGACCATTTCTTTGGAGTCAAGATCATTCATTTAGAAAGTTGAGAAAGAGGGAGAGAAAACAGTTAAGTGTAGATGAGGTTAGAAATTAAAACTCACTAAGGAACTCTTTGTATCAGCCTCAGAGATTGGAGTTAGGCAGAGCTATAGCAGATCTAAGTTAAAAATTCCTAAAATGATTCTGATGGAACGAAGTCCCTAATTTGGTAAGGGAGCTTTAGGGAAGTGAGATTTTTTTTTTAAAGATTTATTTATTTATGCATAGAGAACTGGGGTACAGGCCAAAGGTGCAGGGACGGTGACAGGATTCACCAGAGACAGAGTGGGGAGTAGAACAGGCCGACTGCTGAGGGGAGCAGCAGGAGGGTCAGGAGAGGTCTGCCACACCATGTGGTCACCTCCGGAGCGGGTGGGGACTGAACTCATGCTGAAGTGGCCTTAGCTTCTTAGTGCTGTGCTTTAACCTGCTGCACCACCAGGGAGGGCCAGAGATTTTTTTTTTAAAGGTGAAAAAGAAACACAGCATTCTCATGTAGAAATACTAACGTCAAATATTGGATGACTTCATTCATATGTGGATTATAGAGAAATAAATATAAAGGAACTGAAAAAACTGAACCAAAACACTCCTAGAAATGTGACTGCAGAATTGAGGATACTAGAAGGGGATAGAGGGTGGGAAAAGGAAAATAATGGGAAGGAGGCCCAGTAGCCTAAGATAAAGCATACTACAGGTGCTTTATAGTGGGTGTGGTAATATACATCTGAGGGGGTGTGAACCTGTTCCCCTAAATCATGCAGTGTTGTAAACCAATGTTACTGCAATAAAGGGAAAAAGAGAAATATGTCAATGTGAAGAAACAAAAAGATACAGTTAAAGGTAATGGAGGATTTGAGAAGAAAGGAAAAAAATAATTAAAAGTTCTTCCTCTAGAGCTTAGTAATTCATGTTATGTTTCATGAAGTCTTGTAGGTGCATATTCCCCACCATAATTTCATGGAAACAAGACAGATATTATCTTTGGGGATTTAGATTCCAAATTAGATTAGGCAGTAAAGCTCCAATATGCAAATGCCACAACATATAACATTAACAGGCAAAAACAATTGGCAGATATTTGGGGTAAAATCAGTTCATTCAACAGGTAAGGGGAAATAGATTTTTAATGATGACATTCAAAATCAATCATGTCAGTAAATATGCTCATGAAATAGTACCTTTAAGTGGGGTAACTACATAATTTACTGTCCAAAGCAGGACATTTTTGAATGAATGAGGCTTTTAACAAATATGCCAAGAAAACAGATGTAGACCACAGCCTGTTGCAGGCAAACCAGAACAGATAACCCCCAATGATAATATGCTGGACATTAACAAACCTAACAACAATCACACATACTAACTACAAGAATCCAAAGAGGATTTGAGGATCTTAATTACAAAGTTAGAAACCATAGATTGATTTATTCAAGTTCTTTTCTCTCTCCATTCATTGCCTTGGTGTGGAACATCAAGTAGCACTGTTATAATTACATAGTACAGCAGTAATGAATATTGATCTTGGAACTTAGTGAAGGTCAATATTAATTTGTAGACCACATTGGATTCAATCTATTCTTTACTCTGGATTCATGCAGTGGGCAGTGTTACATCAGTCCCATTACCACTACTACCATGGCAACAGGTTCAAATTTGGACAAGCTGTTGGAAGTTTTTTATTTTTTTCCTGTTTTAAACTATAGTATGCCTCTATACAGAAATTACAACCTTAGTGGTGTCTTGATTCTGGTTTCTAGAGATACATATTTTTTCTATTTCAATAAAGAATTATGGGGCCTAGGGAGGTATCAACAGTATGCTATATTGTTTTCTAAGTGACAAGTTTATGAAAAGCAGAGGAGAAACGGACCAAATGATCATGATTTCAAGGAAAAATATTGTCTAATCATTTGTAATCTTTGAGATCAGCAGTTCACAAACCTGAAAGCACATGAGAATTATCTGGGGAGGCCAATTTAAAAAAAAATCCTACCATATAAAAAAGTTCATGAATATTTACAGCAGAACTGTTCGCAATAGCCCCAAATCAGAAACAATAAAAATGTACATCAGCTGATAAATGATTGTTATCTATGTTAATTTTCATCAGTAAAAACACAGAGCTTCAGACCATGAATGAACCTTTCAAACAGTATGAGAAGTATGAAGGAAGTCAGATATACAAGAACACATATTGTATGATTTCTTTCATATGAATTGCTCCAAACAGGGCCCTCCCTGTGGCGCAGCAGGTTAAAGCACTGCACTAGGAAGCTTAAGCCACTTCTACATGAATTTGATTCCCGCCCGCCCCGGAGGAGATCCACATGGCGTGGCAGACCTCTCCTGACCCACCCGCTGCTCCCCTCAGCAGGTACTTTATCAATCTGCCTGTTCTGCTCCCCACTCTGTCCCTGGTGAATCCTCTCACCCTCCGCATCTCTGGCCTGTACCCCAGTTCTGTATGAATAAATAAATAAATCTTTAAAAAAAAAAAATGAACTGCTCCAAACAACTTTAGCTCCCTCATCAACCTAAAAAATAACAATAGCCAGATAGCTGAAAATAAGTTATCTCAAGAAGTTAAAACTACCATTAGATAGTAATATTTAGGTAAATTAAATAGAAAAATCATAATTTGTAACAAGCATTCGTTAAGTGTTTATTGCTTGAATGACAAATAATTTCATCCAACAACATACGGCTTAAAACTGACAATATTTAACTTTTCAAATTTCATATGATCATATTCCTTCTGTGGCCTGGTGTCTAAAAGTCCCATAATCCTATTTCCTACCAAAAATTCTTATCATAGTTAATAAACCGGTAGCATTATAAAATCATTTTCATTCAAATGAAAAGGTTATATATATCCCTGTTAGATACTTCACCAGTAACAACAAATAAAAATATGAATTAAATTTTTATATCATTCTGAAAGTTTGTAAATTATTATCTACCACTTTAGGCTTTCTTTAGAAGGTTTTAATTTTATGTGACTCTTACCATCCATGAAATTTTGTAATTATGTAACAGAAGTCTTAATATTCAAATGTTTATACTTTTCAGTCTGGATATCAGGAACTTGAAACAGACTTTCTACAGAAAAGCCTGGTTCCAACTGGAATAATCCTGGTCATGTTTTTATGTTCAGGCCACATAATGGTGGGTGGTTACTTGAAGGCTATTTTGTATGGCTAGTGATTTTAATTCTTCATTTTCTGTTCAGAAATGTTGTCTTCATTTTAATCAGAAAGAGAAGTCTGTAATTTCTTCCATTTGAAACTCTTCTGTCTGTTTCTGTAGGTCTTTTGCATCATTTATCATCCATAACTCTCTAAAACACTTTAGTCTGTTCCTGAAGAAAAAAGAAAATACCATTTATTTTATTTTATAGATAAAATTTTGGGACAGCTCATTGAAAACAATGAAAAGTCTATGATGTTAGAATACCAGGCGGGGTGTTGTGGTTAAGAAGCTATGTCAGCATTAGCCCTGTGGTGACAGGAGTTTTAGTGCTACTGTGATAATCAAGAATCAAGGGACCCAAGCTGTTGTTATCAGCATTACTGTCAGCAGGAAAGGGGAAAATACAGCTTCTGACCCCTTCTGACTGACTCATCTTCCAGGATGAAAAGTAAAATGGATTTAATAAAATAAAGTAAGCTAATGAAAAAGGAAAACACCAACATAATACAGACCTATTTTCTTCTGCAAAAAAGCACCCCAGTTAACTGTTCAGGATCTAGAGCCAGACTGAGTTCCAAATACTGCTCTACCACTAATTAGCTATATGACCCTGGTTTCTTGGTCAGTTTCTAACCCTTACTTGGCCTCACTTTTCCCAACTATAACACTGCAATAACAATAGAACTTATTTCACAAAGTTGTCATAAGGATTCAATTAATGTATGTGAAGCAGTAGGTATAGTAACTGATGCAGTGTCTAGGCTACTGCAAACGACTAAACAGATGCTTCTATACTCAGTAAGCAATCAATAAATTTCAGCTACTAGAAACCAAGTGAATGCAGAAGACTGGTTTCTTTGATCTGGCCAGTAGAAGTGATGTGATAAACACATTTAGTAAAAATGTAAAATAATGAATATTGTATCCTGATAAGTTGTCAGGTTTCATCCTAATTAAATCTCTGACTACTATTCTCTGTCTTATCAAAATAACTTTTTAGATTTCAAAAAGTGACATATTATTGCTTGCTTGATAGGTCATATAACACTAAGTGTAAACATTATATTTTATTGTAATTTTGCATATATATTTTTGTTCTAGTTTCTTTAGGGTAAAGAAAGACTGATACAGGCGAGAAAATAACAAAAATAAAGAACAACCATATACCAGAGACATTTTGCGGGGGTAGAATGTGGAATGGGATCGAAAGGGGGGGGGATGGGGAGGGGGAAAGGGAAATGCACAGGATTATGGTGATGGCACACGGGTGACTTGGTGATGGGAAACCCGCGGGGATTACAATTGAGATGGAAAAAAAATGTACAAAATGATGTAAAAATAAACTTTTGTAAAATAATAAAAAAAAGACAACAAAAGGGGATTTAAGTTTCTCTTTGAACTTTCCAAAGAACAAAGAGTGAAGCTTATTTTTAAACTCTTATAGTTTTATCTAGAAAAATTTTATATTATCTTGTAACAGTAATTAGACATAATCTGTTGCTGAGTACATAATCTGCTCCAAGAAAATGTTAACAAAGTAAGCTACACACCATTTGTAGTACTCTAGCACTTTGGATTTGGTCAAACACTATGTACTCCTATAAGGTGTGAACTGGAAGACAGAACCACAAGAAGGAAGTAGAGAAGTGAAATGGTTGCACAACAGGACTGCAGTATACAGGCTGACAATGGTTTCTTTAGTATGAGCTACTAATATTTCAATACCCAAATTTAGTAATGATTTCTAGAACTCAAATACACTTGTACAGTATGGTAGCCAGTCAGTACTTCTCTTTGACCAACAATCTGTTTGTTCCTTCATGGTTATACAGACCAGCAGGTAGAGCGGGAAGGGAAGCGCTCATATCACTAATAGTATATAAATTAAAGTTATCAATAATATATAAATAAAATATTAATGCATATGTTAAGATAAATATTATTACATAAACTATATATTATGTAAATTATAAAATACAAATATATGGAAAACATAGGCTGTAATTTATTAGTTGTTAATATGATAGGTTTTCCTAGGAAGATCTTCTTTCCAAAGTGTATCTCAGATTTATATAGATTAGTTTATACTAACTACATATTTGCTGTATAAAAGATGGCATTCTAGGCAACAGAGAAAAACCAGTTTAAAGTGAAGGATTTGCTAAAATCCACAAAATGAGTGACTTAGGGAGACTGATGATAGTTACATTAATATATAGTGCTGTTGTATTCATTCCTGTCTTGGATGAATTCTTAGTTTCTGAATGTAATCATTAAGTATCTCCAAGGTGACATGTGAGTAAAAGAAGAACTCTAAAGGTTTTAAATACTTAAGTTTTTTTAAGCATTTATTTGTATAACTAAAGGTTTTAAATAATGAGTATGTTCATGCACATTAAAAAGTTAACTTAAATCGGTAGAAAGTTATCTAAAAACCAATCTTTAGCAATTTGATAAAGATTTGACTAGGGAAAGTGGACAGTATGCACATGAGTTTTGCCAAGAGCTGTTTCCACTTTAACTGTAATTAAAAGTTTCAGAATAGTTGAGGAGATGCTTTTATTAAATATAGACACAATGTTCGTTTACAGAACAATCTTCTTCCTTAGACAACTTCAGAGGATTTATTATAAATCAAAAAATGCAGTGCAGTCATTCTGACCTTTTCATATTTACTAATGCTTCCAGTTCTTTGGACTTTCTAGTGGCTTTCTTTAAAACTTCTCCAGGAACATCTGCTAATTTTGCCACATTTAATCCGTAACTCCTTGCTGCAATCCCTCTGGTTATTTGATAGAGAAAAGTGACAAAATCAGGGACTTCTTCTCCACCTACAATGTGAAATTAAAAAAAAGATAAAATCACATTTGAAAAAGCTAAAGGATTCAAGAAAATATGTAAGTTTTTTTACCTTTACTCTAATAAAATTAACTTAGAAAAACAAATCCATTAGTTCTAATTAGTAACCCACATTAGTTTCTTTTACCAATTTTTCAAATCTAGAAAGAGGGTAAATACAATTGTGAATATACCTTTGCAGTTAGACTCTCTTTCAGTTCACCTACGTGGTTTTTAACAAGGATTCCTTGCGAGCTAAGACACAGTTTTATGCTGCTTTCTGAAAAATTTGAATTGATCTTCTATCTCGAAAACCAAGTGATCAACCATCCAGACTTCAAGTTGTCTTTGACTTATAAAGGTTTGAGATAAATTAAAACTTTGGATTTTAATTTCTACTTAAATATTGTAAATATGTCCTAATACTGGTTCTCAACCCCCAAAATATGTATTTCAAATGTGTTCAAATGGTAACATTATTTCAAAAAGATACATGTTTTAAAATCTGGAATGTTTCAGTACCAAAAATAATAAAGAAAAATGAGAAGAGGGTGGGTTCTTTATGGGAAAAAACAATGAGATGCCATGTCATGCTCTCTGTTCCTTTGGCTTTGCAACTGGGTAAAGCTCTTATTCCTGTTCCCCACCCAGAACCACATATCAAAAACTAGAAAAGACTGGGGTCGTGTCCTCAGTAAAAGATATTCAACTTTTTAAAGTAATACTCCTGGTAGTGCGTTAAATAATAACTGTTTTGTTTTGTGGTGTTTTTTTAAATTACAATTTTTTGTTGTATGGTGGTTTGCAGCAACATGTGTGGTTGGCTTGCACCTCTTTGGTTCCGTGTTACCAGGCCTTGCCTGTTGCCAGGGCGCCTGTGGTCCTCCACCATAGTTTGCTGGGGCCCCATGCCCTTTGCTCTCCATTCTCTTCCCTCTCTGGTGATCTCAATTCTACGGTTGTTTTTGGGGGATTGTTTTGATTTGGTTTAATCTGTCCCTGTTTTGTTTCTTTATATTCCACATCAGTGAGATCAGTTATTTAAACAGTAACTTCTTAAAATGTGTATCCATGAGTGATAAATATCAGGTTTATTAAATATCATGGTGAACTTAGATTAACAGTTGAGATTTTAAAGTGGATGATGTTCAGTCTGTCCAAATCCTACTCAGGAATGGAATGAAGCTGTTAGGAAAGTTGTCAGCCTACAACCCTTTTCTGTATGCCTTTTTGGGAAATGTCTCAGCTGAGAGGTGCTTCACCTAAGGTCTGCCCACATGCAGTGACTGATTACACTGGGTATTAGCAGGCAGTCTCTAAGATGGACACCAAGATGTCTCCCTCTAGGTGCTCATACCCAAAAAAGATCCTGGGGATGTCATTCCCTCCCTTGGAGTGTGGGGTGGACCCAGTGACTTGCTTTTAATGAATAGTATCTGGCAAAAATGAAGGAATGCCAGTTCTGAGTTTAGGTTACAAAGGATTGGCCTCTGTCTTGAATACTCTTGCTTGCTCTCTGAGAAGCCGGTTGCCATGTTGGGGGCTGCCCTATAGAGAGGCCCACATGGACAGAAACTGATGTCTCCCACCAAAGTCAGCAAGGGCCTGGAGGCCTGCCAACAGCATATGAATGAGCTTGAAAGCAGTTTCTGGAGCTTGCCAACAGCCTGCAAAGTGGACTGTTCCAGTCAAGCCTTGAATTGACTGTTGAATAATCAATACTTTATCACCTGTGAGAGATTTTGATGTAAAAGCTAACTAAGCTGCCCCTGGATTCCTGACTCTTAGGAATTATGAGATAATAAAAGTTTATTGCTTTAAACTGCTATGTGTTAGCCTATTATTATGCAACACAAGATAATAAAGAATATAAAGATCTGGCTTCCTCACCTCTAGCCGAGGTAACTCTGAAAGACCAGCTTGATCTCAAAGATCTCTGTAGGGTTGATGGAAGCCCCATCCTATAACACAGTCTAATGCCAACCCAGTGCTGCCGTTAGGCAGTGATCAGGGGAGCACTCCTTAATAAACACTAGCATGCAAATTTCAGATCTGCTTTCCAGTGAACTCAGTCTGCCACCCATATACATACAATGAATTAAAAGCTTTTAAAGAATGTGGATATGGTGAAGTAGAAATAATATACTATAATGCTGCATAGTCTAAAGTACCTCAGAATTATGTTCTTCTTATTAAATTCAATATAATTGCATTGTGTTGCAAAAATGAGCCATATTTGCAATGATTCCTGAGACCCTAATATACTACTTTAAGTTTATTAAGAGCCTTTTCCTGTGCATTATTCCACTGGATAATATGTATGCTTTATTTTTGATTAGGTAAAAAATCCCAAGATTAAACACAACAGAGTAAAAGGATAATGGAAATTTCCTTAACCTCTTCAAAGAAGTCAGCAATAAACAAGTAATATCTTTTTAAGGGTGAGTGCCAAAAAGTGGGAGGTAAAAAGAAAGCTGACACATTGGAATACACAAACAAAACTTAACACTACAAAGCACTGCTTACACCTTTTGTCACCAAAACAAAAACCAAAACCTTAAACAATCACTAAAAACTGATGAGAAAGTAGGTGGGATTATGTCAGGAAAGATGTATGTAGAAATCAGTGTCTGCTCACCAGGATAATTTTTTGTTACTCTTTGATGCTCACAAGACCAAAAGTAACAAGCAGTAGAAAACAAAATGCTTCTCACCTTTAAAAGAGAAAAATCATCTTCATCATTTCAACTTGATTATTTCTAACAGATTTTTCTACCTCCAGTCTCTCCTTTATAATCTAACCTCCATACCACTTTTTCTAAAACAAAGATTCTTTCTGTCCATTCATTATATATGCACCCACCTATCCTATGCCGATCAAATACTGTCTGAAGTCACTTTCAGGAATGATTCAACAAAAATGTAAAGGTGGAGAAGGCCAGGTGACCTGTGTAAGATTTTACAGGCAGGAATAGACTAAAATAAGTTTCTTCTTGCTGGTCCAGTGCCTTATCTATCAAACTAATAGATTAGCACAGTATCTTGGGAGATACCCTAAGTGCCTTTGGAGCATTTTACTGATGACCTGGTAATGACTTCTGAATGTCACCCAAGTGAGGGCAGAGTAGAGAGTAAAGGAGAAGAGGACCCACTGGCTTAGTGGAGGATTATGAGGAAGTGTGCTTTGATAATGGGTGTGGTGTGGTGACATACATCTGACTAAGTGTGAACCTATACTTCTACATCATATAGTATTGTAAACCAGAACCTCAATTAAAAAAAAACATGTAATTTTTAAAAAAAGGGCATTTTACAAAGCCATGGGAGGCAATAAAGTATACAAAGATTTAGCTATAGACTAAACTAAAACTAAAAAAAATAAAAACAAGGCATTCAAGAACACAGAGAAACTTAGAAAATGCATAGTCTTCATACCTGACACGTAAGTAAGCAATACTTACTGGCAATAATGGTGAACATGGTGAACATGAAGAATACCCATGACACAGAAAAATGCACAATAAACTGTGCTGGGAGGACAGAGGAAGGAAGGCTGAAAACTCCCCTCTAACACAGAAGTTAATACCGTGTCAAGATGCAAAGAGGTAGAAAACAGGCATATCATTGTGAAATGTGGAATAGATGAAAGGCTGAAAGTTGTTGCCGTGGGGACTGGGCCAGGGAGGGGACATGGAGAGGAGGGAAGGCGCAAATGACGGCTGCCTATTAGCATGAGCCTTCCAGCCTCATTTAATTTGGAATTTATGTTCATGCATAACAATTTAAATCAATGAAGTAAAATGCCAAAACACTTGAGCCATGAGGTCTTGGATTAGTTCACAAATGCGTACCACTGAACCTTCCCTGTTTGTGAGCTCTACTTTGTTTACCTCGCTGAGTTTAGCATCTCTTGCCACTCTGAATGAATGCACACTGATGGCTGTAAAACTACTGCCAAAGAGAATTTATGGGATGTTCTTCAACACTGCATGGTGGTGAAAAACAAGAATTGCCTAACATTACATTTAACTTAGGTTTGGTGCTTTGTTAAGTTTGGGCCAGTTGCCTGATTTCATTTTCAGATCCATCCTTGCTACCTTTCCAAACTAACATTTGGACTCTGTAGTTCTTGGATAATGAACTTTCCAATGTAGCATACCAAATGCATAAACTATTACTGGTCCACAAATTAGTAGCTTCAAAAAAAATTACTACTGAACAGAAAAAAAAAAACGATAATCTATGACTTTACTTGAATTTATCTCAACTGGCCAATAGCATTTCTTTCATGAACTGTCTTATTTCTATGACATTAGTAGTAACTGGGAAGGCTAGAAAAAGTACTGTAGTTCCTGAGGTAGTGTTAGAATAGAGGAGAACCTGCAAGCAGAGGACATGGATTCTAGTCCCCATTTAGGTGGCCAACATGAGCAAGTCACTTAATCTGTCTGAGATCCAGATTACTAGTCAAATTAACCTAAACATATATACAGTATCATTTATGGCTCTTAGTAAGTACTTAATGTTAAGTGTTATTTGGGAAATCTACTAGGTTGACTAATAATACTCTGTAGTTGACTTTTTTCCTGAGGGCATTTTTTTCTGAGATGGGCATTTATTTCTGAGATAAATCTAGACGAAAATCTAAGTATACTCCCCACCCTAGCCTGATTCTACCTTTTTCTTATGAAAGATGAAATGAGCAATACTATAAAGGAAGGGCTCGTGTATGGCAAGGATACATACAAACTACATTTATCCAGACCTAGAAAATACCAATTTGGACAAATGTCATTTACAATGCATTTAGTTTTTATCATCACTAAGAAATAATTTCATGTTCTTATACACTTCCAGGTATCAAAGAAGAAAACCAACATTTCAGTTGCACATACTATAGGAAAATTTCATACCTGGATTATTTTTGCTTTCATCCTCATTGACCAGGAATCCCATGTGGTAATTCCCTACCTGCTGTGAATAACTTTTCTCTAATTCACAAACTGGAGGATAATGGGTGACAAACAGAGTTAAGGATTTCACCTAAAGCAATGAGACATGTAAAAAATGTTATTTTAATTTTAATTATTATTCTCCAATTTTGTTTTGAAAATTTCAAACTTGCAAGTACAATGCATATGCTTTTTATCTAGACAATAAATTATAATATTTTGCTGTATCTTCTTTTATAAGAATGGTGTGCACTTACTTGTGAATAAACACGCACACACATTTTCTCTGAACCTCTTGAGAACTGTAGACATCATGACATTGCATGCTTACATACTTATAATTCTACCTTCTAAGAACAAAAACATTCTCCTATATAACCAGAATAAAATGATTACACTTAAGAAATCTGCCACTGACATGTTTTCACTATTTAAAATATATAATTGATAAATATCCTTTAATCTAGAAACATTCCCCAGTTTTACTTTTTTTAATAACCTTAATATTTTAAAATTATCCAGTAGAGTTGTTTTACATAATGTCCCTCAATTCGGATTTGGCTGATTCTTTCTTACTGATCAGATCCGGATTAAATATTATTGTCAGGAATATTACTTTTTAAAATAGTGTTAATTTGGCAAGAACACCTATATATAGGTAATATACTTTCTAGTACATCATATCAGGAGACCTATGATCCAATGTGGCCCATTACAGGCTGGATTTGATCATTTGGCCTAAGTGGAAACCCACCATATTTCTTTTTGTATTAAATAAAAAACTTGTGAGGTAACACTTAGACTGTGTGAATATTCTTCCTCCAACAAGCTTTCATCCAAAGGTTTCACGATTGCTGATTATCATCAGCTAATCAATTATATGGAATATTAAATTGACTTAAAAAATTCTCTTTATAATTACTAGTTGGAATTCCGTTAAGTACAACTTTCTCTTCTCCCACCATTTTAAAACTTTTTTGCTTTCAGTATGGATTTATGAATTATTTAATAAGTGTCAATTTAAAGCATCAATTTAAATAATCATGTATTCTGTAAGTCCCTATCTTGAGGAAAACTAACAAATCTTGGTCTAAAACTTAATAAAAGAGAGTAACTATTAATAAATCAATGGACTCAGATTTTGATTCATTTTATTAAAAGTTAAAATATATATCTTCTCTCATATAACATTTACAAATAATCTTATTAAGTCAGGATTTCTTGGACAAGTTGCTATTAAAAGCTGCCCTACAGGGTCTTTGGATCAGGTGTGTCCAAGGTGATCCTTCCCAGAACTGGCAGGCATTTATTTGCAGCCAGAAGAACTAAGGGTTTGGGTTACAACACTGCTCTTACCTCAAGGCTATTTTAAACTTGCAGCAGCAATACATAGCCTCCCCACTCCTCTCTGATCTTTCTCTGCACCCTGCACTCCAATGATGTCAAAAGACACAAAAGAAATTAAGATTTTCATCCATAAAGAGGCTAGGGACTCTTGCTCTGGAAGAATACTCTTCAATTACGTGCCTCTAAGGTAAATTTTATCTAACACACATTCTTCGTTAACATGTAAATATCCAAAAACTGCTACAGAAGCAATAAATTCAATTCCATCATAATTTATTTATAGACCCTTAAATTAACCTCTGAAATACTGCTAGACTGCTTTGGTAGTGAGCTCCAACATGGTCCTTCACCTGCCCCCCTCCTAGTGTATGCTATTGAGGAGGCTCTTCCCACTGTTGTTGAGGGCTGGCCTTGTGTAGTCAAGAGAGAATGATGGCAATAACTATGTGTGTGACTTCTGAGGTTAGATCTTAAAATACATTTCTTTTTCTATGCCAGCCTTTCTGAAGCTTCCTTGGGGGAAGCCAGCTACCACTCTGTCAGGATACTCAAGTGGCCCCATAGCAAGACCCTCTGAAAAAGGAACCTGAGAGCCCAGGTCAACTACCAGCACTGATTTGTCAGCTGTGTGAGTGAGCCAGGGAAGAGAACCCTATAGCCCTAGCTGACAATTTGCTTTAACTTCAGAGAAATCTTGAGCCAAAACCATCTTGCTAAGCTGCTTCCAAATTCCTCATTTCCAGGAACTTTCAAGGGAAAAAAATTATTATTGTTGTTTTAAATGTCACTAAGCTTTGGGTGACTTGTTACACAGTCACAGCAGCAAATACACTGCTAGAGAGTACAGACAATGAAATCAAAGTTAAAGGTACAAACTCAGTTCTGGCGTAATTTGTTCATGAAGGTTCTCAAACTTGAAATATGTTTTGGAAGCAGTGATAAGACTTGATCAAACCTGTGATATGTCATTTTTTATAAGAATTAAAGGAATTTCTAACTCGAGAGTGTGCCCTGAGGCTTTGGTGGAAGGCCAGTGAATCATGTGCACATGCTGAGGTGTGAAGCTGTATGCCCCACATTACACTTTGGAAAAAACATGACAAGTTAATAAAATACTGATAGGGAAAAAAAATTCTAGTTAAAGAAAAGTTAAAAGTATTTGAAATTGAAGACACGTCATTAGTAACTATGCAATCTCACTAAATATTTCAACCAAAAAGTAAGAGCTACAAAAGCTTCAAGGAAAAAGGATTTTATTTTTGCAATAAAAGTAAGTTTGATGGAGCTAAAGTTGGAAAGTTTGACACAAATAAAATTTCACATTGAGAATGTCACCCGAAAAAAAAAAAAAAAGGTACGAACTAAAGGAAACAGAGAAAACATAATCAAAAAGGTATGAGATCAAAGGTCTTATGTTGAGATCTTACAGGATACTGAATAAAGTTTTGCACAGGGCAAAAATTATACTATCTCCTTAGTTATTTTCTCAAGGACTAGGCTCTTGACTTAAGTGTTTTGACTGGGGTAATCAGCGGATTTCTGGGAAGAAATACTGCCAGGGAGGCCTTTCTCCTACTGACCAGGTTTAGTTTGATTTGGCAAAAGGAAGGAAGACACATGAAAGAATTACAAACAAATTTAGGGTCCCTATAATTTGAGTTCTATGGGCAGCATTCCAATGGTTAGTTGCAGGAGTAGGGTCAAATATAATAATTAAAGGTAATCTTGATGTTTGGAAACTTAGGTCAAGAAAACAATCTGTACAGGATGTGCCACTCATGCACAAAAAAGTGTGCCAGATACTTACATCTCGAATAAAATGCTCCAGTGTAGCATAAGCAATGGCGATCCCATCATGGGTACTTGTTCCTCTTCCCAGCTCATCCAAGATAACTAAGGACTGTGACGTTGCTTTTCTTATTATTTCTGCTGTGTCAGTCAGTTCTTCCATAAATGTACTCTGTCCTTTATATATGTTATCTGCAGCACCCATCCTACAAATAAGATGAAGACACCTTAATTTTCCTCTGAATTTTATTATCAGGAAATCAGGCACTGTTTCATAAACAATAAATCTAAAGGATCCCTAAGAATGAGTTTGCTTTGAGTCAGTAATAGCTGAAATTAAGCAAAAGGAAAGATAGGAAGGACGTTAAGAGTGAGTGCCTAACATCGAACTGTAAAAGCATTTCCTTGTAGAAGCATTCTGGACAGCATCTAAAGTATTTCTTTATTGGACAAAGTTTCTGAAAGTAGGACAATATCTGCTCCTGCCTTTTATTGACCAAAGTTTGGTCCTCAAAGGAGAAACATGTACTCCTATGTTTAACATCCATGATGCTGGGATAGAGTGCAACTAAAGAGCTTGTTCTAATGTTTCTTTAAGATTCCACACTGAATTTATAAGTTAAATATTGAAAGAACTTAATTTACTTAAGATAATACTTTTTTACTAGAATTACATATATTTACTATACTCAGACACCAACACAGGTTTCCAACATGGATTTCATGGAATACAGGGAATACAGCTCTTAGTGATACCAAAAAAATGAGTCCAAAAGATATAAGGGTTTCTTTCTTGTAAGATCTCCTTAGTCTTTAATATTCTACATTGTGCATTTCTTAGAGAAGGAACTCGCACACCACATTTCTCTAACTCCTTTAACCAGATTCCTTACCACTTTGTGGGCTACAAAACACATTTGGGAAAAAGGAGTGTTTAGCATAAAGAATCTGGGAAAAAGTAAAAGTAATAATTAAGCAGCATTCAAAGTTATGCTGTTACTAGCAAAACCTAGATTTTAGGTTTTCAAACCCCTTTAGCCAGCGCTTTGAGTGCTACTAACTACAATAATTTATATGTATACCTTTTATTTCTGGGAAAACTCAAGGTGAAATCTCTGGCTCTGGAGCTCTAGGAATGCAGTGCTCTCCCCAACAGATCAGCAGAGCCTTATGAGACCTGCTCAAGTAATCAATCAGGACATTTAAAAATTGTAATAAGCGGCCCTCCCTGGTGGCGCAGCGGGTTAAAGCACAGCACTGAGAATCTGAAGCCACTTTCCGCATGAGTTCAATTCCCGCCTGCCACCTGCCCCGGAGGAGACCACATGGCGAGCCAGACCTCTCCTGACCCGCCCGCTGCTCCCCTCAGCAGTGTACTTCGTCAATCTGCCTGTTCTGCTCCCCACTCTGTCTCTGGTGAAGCCTCTCACCGTCCCTGAGCCTCTGGCCTGTACCCCAGTTCTGTATGAATAAATAAATAAATCTTTAAAAAAAATTGTAATAAGCTGCACTCATGATGAAGTTGACATGATTTTACTCCAAGTGCATTTTATCTATTTAAACTGAAGCACTTCTATTCATTTAAAATCAAGAACTATGAAACAATTTCTAAAAAGTTACTAAGGAGAATCCTGGTTACATTTTTCAAAGTTTAAATACTGTTATTTTCAATGTTTACTAATACTTCTTCCTAGCACATAGCAAGAAGGTACAACTTTCCTTTTTCTGAAACCACTCTGAATGATTCAATCATAATATTTGAGCTCCATTCAGTATTGTCTGCTTTTATTCCTGACAAGTTATGAGCTTAAAAAAATAACAAATCTTTTAACTGATTATAAAATTGGTAAGACAAATACTTGGTGGGAGGTATCTCTGACTCTCAAAAATTAGAATAACAACCACTGGAGAAAATTTTAATATACTAAAGAATTATAGTTAAGTGCTTTCTAGAAACAGTACAGTAACAGTGATCCTACTGGAATCAGGAATTGTGGGATATTCTAGAAGATATTTTTTAGACAGACACATAAACATAAAATGGTAGGATGTTAACTACTTGGTTATTTGAAAGGAAAAAAAGCTATAAAGATGTGTCCCTAATCAAATCATATTCCAAAATAAACTTACATGGATTTAAGAGTTAAACTTAAAAATAGGAACCATAAATACTCCAAACAGTAATGGTGAAATTTAATCACCACATATGGATGGTTGGTCTTGCATACTTGGCACTAAAACATGTACAATAAAAACCACATAAGACAAAGCTAAAAAGCAAATCACACACTGAGAAAAATATTTTAACTCATGACACAGGATTAATAAACTCTTACAAAGAAAGAGAAAATGGTGAACATTCAATAGAAAGGCAAAAGACAAAGTCAATTCTCACATACAATAAAAGGTCCCCAAAAATCCTAACAGGAATGAAATGATTTTTATATGTAATATATACATATATAGTATGTATGTATATAAACATACACACACACATATATAAACAAATATTAAAAAGAATGTTAACATTTACCATTGTCAAGAGAATGGGGAAAAGGTATTCTTATATGAGAATGAGAATTGTTTAAACTTCCCAAAGACAATTTGTCAACGTGTATCAGGTACCTTTCATGACACATAAATTTATTCTAGAAATTAACAATGAAAATTATTAGAGATTTATGGAAAAACCAAATACCTAAAAATTAAAAAAGCAGTAACAAATAATGGAAATGTATGTAACCAATAAAACAGGGCAGTTAGAACGTGTGACATGGGAAAACTGTCATAACAGAACAGACTTTATGTAAAAATACCTGGTCACCTGAGTGACCCAAGCCCAAAATCATTATGTTAAGTGAGTGGGGAGAGGATTCAGTCAGGAGAAGAGAGACCCAACACCTGAGGAAGCTCAGGCCAGGAAATGTAATAAACAAAGTTGGGCTCTAATCAGATATACAAGCAACTTCCAGAATTAAAGAAAAATGGAGGATAGTTAAAGAAAGTTGACTACATGAAAAAGAAGTACTAAGAACAACTAACAAATTAACTATACAGAGGAAATGGGCAAAAATACAATTGAACACAATTAAATCAAACAAAACCCCAACTTGGTATCCTCAGTAAGATTAAGAAATTGCAGATTCAAAATAAGAACTACCAAAAAAGGACTACAGCTGGAGAACAAAAATCTGGGAAATTAAAAATAAGATGACTGAAAAAATTCACCATACAGGCAAGATTCAAATTAGATACTAGGAAGGATCAGGTTTTAAAATCTAAAAGACAAATTCAAAGAAATCTCTGAGCACACCTAATAGATCAAAAAAGTAAAATAGCAATAATTTTAACACGGGGAGGCCAGCACTGAGGTTTATAGTCCACCTCATAGGAAGTGCAAAGGAGAGAAACAACAAAGACAATGATAAAATAGAACACTACAACACTTAAATAAGACATAAAGGTTCACAAAACACCAAGGAAAATAAAAATTGCTGCCCCCTAGAAACATTCTGGTGAAATTTTAAAAACAAGAATTTTTTTTAAGAACCCCAAACTTCAGAGAGAGCATCATCAATAACAAAGAGAAAGCAAAGCATACTCCTATCAGACTTTTTATTTAAACAGTGAATGCAAGACTGAATGATTAACAGGACAAAATCCTCAGTTTAAAAATCTGTAAGTTTATAATCATCTAAGCTTTCAAACTCCATATGATGATAAAATAAAGCTATTTTATTATACTTTAAATTAAAGAACAGAAAAATTTGCTATCATGAATTCTACATGAACAAACTAATCAAAGACAAGTAAATGTTAGCAGGAGTGAACAAATCTAGAAAGAAAGGAGAACAGTTTTTAGACTGAGAAGCTGAGACAATTCCTCCATGCACAACAAATCATCTTAAAGATTATATACTTTCAAAGTTCTCAAGTGAATGTGTAGGTGAGAAAACACATAAATCATAGTAATGTAATGTAAATTCTGACTATTGGGTTCTTTTCATTTTTAAGCTACCTTATGAAAAAGAACAAGAGATATTATAGCAGTATAAATTTTGAGACATTAGACATGTAAAAGGAAAACAGTTTTAAAAATTAGAAGGGCTTGGTGCTAGTGGTACTTGGAGGGTTGTAGGGCGATGACAAAGGACTTTCAGTTTCAATTTTCAGCCCGAGTTTCTTTCAATCATGACAGACCTTGCTTGTGTCATTTTCATTTCTTTTTAAATATTATGTAATTATTGTAGAAAAAATATAGAAGGCTGTCAACAGGTTTAGAGTAATCTTGTCTGGGTACAGGGATAAGTGATGTTTTTCCTCTCCTAAGCACCTAATAAAACATCTGGCACCACAACGGAGACTGATGAATGGACATTAAATGAAAACAAAATGAGAAAAAAAAGTCTTTTCCTCTTAACTCCAGTTGATTAAAACTTAAACTGTTAAAAAATCATGGTAAAACTGCTAACATGACTTTACACTGCTTAAGTATTTATTGCTACTATCACTGAGGTATCTCTAGGAGTCAGTTCAAAAAAATATAGATATAATAATAGATTTATCTATAAACAAGCAAATAATTTAGCTTAGTTTAATGTCAAAGCAGCAAATCACATTTTATGCCACTGAGATGACCACAATGGCTGCATCTTAGGTCATTAGAGATGCTTATGTTCTTCTTTGGGGTCAAGACCTTGAATGAACTTTATTATATATCTATTTTCTTGGCATTAAAAAAGATAGTTGTCACATTAGGAAAGGAGAATCTAGTCTGTAAAATGGAGTTAAAACTTTTAAAAGTTGGCCCTCCCTGGTGGTGAAATGGATCAAAGTGCAGCACTAGGAAGTCACAGCTACTTCGCATGAACTGGATCCCCAGGCTGGAGGTGATCCAAGTGGTGCAGCAGATCTCTCCTGTCTCACCTGCTGCTCCCCTCAGCATCAAGTGGCCTGTTGAGCAATTTGCCTGTTCTGCTCCCCATTCTGTCTCTGATAAATCCTCTCACTGTCCTTGCACCTCTGGCCGGTACCCTAGTTCTGTATGCATAAATAAATAAATAAATCTATTTTAAAAACTTAAAAAGTTATGCTATTTATAAATTATGTCATTTAGCTAAACCCAGTACTGAAAAAGCAGTAACTTGAGTGAAGGAACCAGCAAACTCTCTAGTCCTGGCTCCTGACAACTTGCCAAGTAACTTTT